TTAAATATTTTGTTTCATATATCAAATCGAATCAATGAAGTTTCATTAATTTAGACTATCTACATGGCGGGAACTATGAAACAGAAATTTAATATAATCCATACTTCCATACTTTAATATTATAAATGTGAAAGTGTGTTTGTTTGTCCTTCTTTCACGTCGAGACAGAGTGATGGATTTGTGTGATTTTTTGTGTGGAGATAGTTAGAGGGCTGAAGAGTGACATAGGCTTACTTAATACGTACGGCAATACTTTTTTGTCCGAAAATCTCAATAACTATACTTGACCAGACTCAGGTCCTACTTCTGACCTTTAAGCGAACACGCTAGCTATGAGGTTTTTTTATGGTATTCAGTGACAAACGAGCAGACAGCCCACCTGATGGAAAGCGGTACCTGTCGCCCGTAACACCTAAGGTTCATGCACTTAGGTTTTATGTTACAAAAATACAGAACCGCAGGTGCGTTGTCACTGTGAGGACTAAGATGATATGCCTCTTGCCTGTAATTGCGCTGGATACCTTATCCTTCAAACCGGAACACAACAATGTAATGATTGTTGCTTGGCGGGAGAAATAGATAAGGGGGTGGTACCCATCCAGTCGGACTCCTCAGGCTTGACAGAACTACCGCCGGTCAACAGGATGTAGTTCAAAAAAAGTTTTTCAGAAGCGAAGCAATACTCAATACTCATCTTCTTTACTTTCCATATCCTAACGTATAAATTTATTTCTTTGTTTTTAGTAAATAATGGCACCCGAGGTATAACAGCTAATGTGAAACTTCTATAGTACAATACACTCCATGCTAATTCAGTAGAATATTTGTTGCTGTACGTGAGCCGCATGCGCGCATTCCGACAATTTTGAGCCTGATACGAATATTTTATTAGCACATTTAAATTCGAGTGTGAATTTTAAACTAATTTTATGATAATGAGTTTGGAGTTTATATACATGTTTCACAAATAGACGTTAAATTATATTTTGTTTATTATACTCATTAAAGTTAATTTATTAGGAAGTGAAGGTATACGGAAATATTAAAATATGAAGAACGCCTGGAATAGCTGTAGCATATGTGTATCGTAATGTTGCTGAAAACTTTCATAAATATCTTCGTACAGCCTTTACCTAATCTGTCGACTTTACAGTAAATCTACACCTTTATAAAAAATCGGTCAAGTGCGAGTCGAATTGGCCATAAAGGATTTCGGTATCACCGTATATGTAGTTTTTATTAATATGACTTTTACTCTATGTATGTATATTAACTGTATGTAAGTATATTAACTTCGATGATCGATTACGAACGCAAAAAAAATATTTATTGTATTTTCATTTTTATTATTTGTTGCATGAACGAATTATCTCTAATTCGTTCATGATTTGTTGTTATAGCGGCAATAGAAATACATCTTCTGAAAATTTCAACTCTTTACCTATTACGGTTCATGAGATAGAGCCCTCTGACAGACGGACGGATGGACGGACAGCGGAGGCATAGTAATAGGGTTTCGTGGGCACCTTTCGGGTACGGAACCCTAAAAATTAAATTCATTCATTCATTCACAGACAACGCACAATCTAAGCCTTTGGGTCAAGAAGATTAATATTTTGAACAAGCAAAGGTTTTTGATCTTTCGTATTTTGTATACCGTTAGCTTCCCTAGCTGCAGTCTGAAGATAGATTACAATTTACAAATACTATATTATATTGCAATTATGCCGGTTTCTATCGATGTTCATCGTCACGCGTTTGATGCGAGTGCAGCGATTAGTTAAAACAATGCGTTTAAAAAGTAAGCAGAACGAATAACCGATTAAAATGTTCAAAGCGAAACCGAAAATGTCATGCTAAAAGTTTCGACAGCATTTTGTGTGGGATTTTTTTTCAGCTGCTCTATCAATAGTAGAGTACCTATTAACTAATATCTTTTAGTTTTTAATATTAGCTTTCATCATTTACATATTATAGGAGTACTGGAATGTGAGAGTTGAAGTTGTCCTGAAATCTACCTGACAGATTAAAATAAAGCGGATCTGTGTTTTTAATTTTTGAAAGTTGTACCTATAGCAAAAGTGCAGTTGAGAAACACCTAGTTGTACATTATTCGCGATTAAGAAAACAACCAAACGCATATTCTAAAAACTTTTCATTTGGCTTTTATAACATTCGAAATGGATTTTTTATGTTTTTACTTTCTTGCCTCTCATGGGTTCATGCGAGCTAGCTGAGCGTCTACCACGTAGAGAAATAACGATGGAGCTTGATCCCGAATGTTTATCAAACACAAACTATTTAGATTTAGATTAAATGTAGATATCGCGACTAGATTTAACAATTTAAAGCTTCATAGCTCGCTATTATTATAGGAAGGTCATAAAACATTACGTGAGGTCATTTATGCGTAATATTTACAATCGTAGTTTTAATCGAATTAACGATGTGAAGAACTTTGGGACGTACAAAGGCCGTTTCATTACAAAAAAAAAACAAATAACAATGTTGTAAAACATAACATTATGTATAGTAAATTATAAGTTGCAGTTGAAACTCCCAGCCATGTCGATATGTACCTACTTGATATTATTGTACTTAATTGAAACACGCAAAGCAACGGTATAATATTGCTATGATAATTTTATTAAGTAATAAACATTATCTATACTAACTAATATTATAAAGAGGTAAAGTTTGTGAGTTTGTAATGTTGTCGGGGGTAATTTCTGGATCTACTGAACCGATTTAGATGAAATTTGGTAAAAAGATAGTTTGAGATCCTGGGTAGGATATAGGATACTTTTTATCCCGGAAGTCATCCCTTAAGGGGATGAAAATAGGGATGAAAGTTTGTATGGGGAGTCAAGCAAGGGACGAATCCGAACGAAGCGAGGATGAGTCGTTTGTCTAATAAAGGCGTAAATGAATTAGTATTTAATTGATCTACTTCGCGGCCAATCTATTTAAGTCATTTCAGTGACAAAAAATAACAATAAAAGATTGACACGGAATTTTAATTTATAAAAACGCACTTATCATTAAGTATTGTTCTCCGCTAGTTGCCAATTATTATTAATTCCTACCAACTTTTTATTTACTGAGGCCATATGCCATTTACGTATTTTTTAATATTATAATATGCCTAAGATAATTTTAAGCTTTAAATATTATGTACGAAAACATCACCCTTTCCCCAAATAGAAAGGCCTATCTCTGTGGCAAATAAACAAAAAGGCTTATGATATTGTTATAAGTAAATAATCTGATGTATGTATGTATGTAAGTGACCAACGTCGCTGAAACTAGCCAACAAAACTAGCAAATCCAACTTAACAAAGTAAGAGGTATTTTTGATATGATATGTTGGGACATTAGCACACAGCACCATCTAATTTCCATGATAAGCTACGAGGCTTGCGTTATGGATACCAGATAGTTTGATACACTACATATTAATTATTATATAGGTATAACTTTTATATACATACTTACATATTATAAATATAAACACCCATGAATGGAGTACAAACATTCGTGCTCATCATACCAGCGGGATTAGAACCCGCGATTAATAGCACATACAGTAAATAGGGTAACTATAAACTCAGCCAAACGTGTCGTCAATGAATAGGTTATTATTTTATTGACCATTTTTTTATATATAAAACTAGACATTAAAACTAAACGGTCACTCAATGTCGCGGTCACAGTTATAAATTACAAGAATGTGTCCGGAAAAGTCGTGTGAACTTGGCCTTTTAATTAACACTAATGCTTAAATAATTCTTAAATCTTAAGATTCAAATTGAAAATGTGGCTTTAAGTATTAGATGGGGCTAGTATTTGTTATAAACATTACGTTTTATTGTATGTGAATTGTATACAGTCCTATGACTTTGGCTTTTATTTATTTTACGTAGGTAAATGTGTAAAATATCAAATATTGTAACAGATTATCTCAGTGTGTAAATATATAATTAATATATATATATATATATATATATATATATATATATATTTATATATATATATATATATATATATATATATATATATATATATTTATATATATATATATTTATATTTATATATATATATATATATATATATATATATAAGGTGTCCCTAGCCCAACAGTTTTTTTTTATTTTCATACTATCTACTTGTTGCGAATATGTTTGTTTTTTTTTTTACTAATTTATAGAGTACCTATACAAGTAAAATGGTATGAATGGAAATGCATATGGCGTCTCCTCGGCCTATTTTGAATAAACGCATTTTTTATCGAAATTTTCCGTAATCATTTTGTATAAATGTGTCGTAAATCTATTAGCACAAACATTGGACTTAAAAACACAAAAGAAACACATCTAATCGAGTTCAATTTTAATCACTAAAATTAACTTTTGATTGTTTGACCGGCAATTTTCAGCACAAAATTCATACACCCGAATTGACTACACCCATTTTTTTTTAAATTGGTTAATTAATATTACTACCTAGTACCTAAAGTTGTATCAATTATTATTTTTATTCTACTTTACAAGTGTACTGTGTAGCCCATTATAGGTCACGACCTTGTCCGAGCAAGTCGTTACTGTCGTTGACATGCGGAATATGTCTGACGAACGTCTACCTAATGAGCTAAACTTGCTTAAACATACTGTGATATCTTTAGCTCGCGATGAGACATCACAATGAATTAGAAGTATGTCACGAAGTAATGAGACGCCATCGAAAATATTTTATTTGAGTTTTAAATAGGCAATAATCTATGCTAATATTATAAAGAAGCAGAGTTTGTTTGTTTGAAATAAGTTAATTTAAATTTTTACGAATATCCATGCAAATATGTAAGTACCTATTTTATTATCACGTACTTAACACTTAAGCAATTAAATTATATTTTTATCAATATAGTGTTTTAATAAGCTGTGTAATGTATAGTTGTTATCAGGATTATGATCGTGTTTTTTAATATACATTTTTTGTTAAAGGAGGTGGACTCAGCAACGGCATCATCCTTCAACGATTCCCAGAAGTCAACTGGGAGGACACACCTTTCCACGACGGCATAGAATGGGTATGGTTGTTACAAATTCATACTAGCATATTTAGCTCATATATTATTACTCGTACAGGTAGTTTATGTGAGTTTAATGTTTTATCTTATATATAAAATTTCCATGTCACAATGTTTGTTACCGTACTCCTCCGAAACGGCTTTACCGATTTTTACCAAATTTTATATGCGTATTCAGTAGGTCTGAGAATCGGATACTATCTATCTATTTTTCATACCCCTAAGTGATAAGGATAAGGGTGGTCCTCCCAGACCCCACCCCAGGGACGAACCCGAGCGGAGCGAGGGTGAGTCGCTAGTATATATATAATATTCACTTCGCTCGGGTTCATCCCTAGGTACGTTTTAACGGTTATTATGGAATAGATAGTCGATCCCTTGCTCTGTGCAAAACAATAATTTATCCCACGAGAACCGTACATTTTTCCGGGATAAAAATTAATCTATTACAGACCGTAATCTATCTCTGTGGCAAATTTCATCCAGATCCGTTCAGCCGTTCTGGCGTGATTAAGTAACAAACAAACATCCATCCGTCCAAACTTTCGCATTTATAATATTTATAAGATGTTTACCATTGATAATGATTTTTTGAATAGTAGAGTTATGACTCATAGGGATATAAGATAGATACAGAGAAGGTACAAGAGGTAACAGTACTCGTACTGTTAGTTGTCATGTTTCGTTCGGTGAGTTCGAAAGGCACTCTTTCCTTTCCACCACCTTCTTCTTTTCTTCTCTCCCCTTCCCTTATCTGCATACCCTCAGGTAGTATTGAGTTGGCGCTGCTCTAGGCATTGCTCCAGTAATTAGTTACTAAAATATCCTTTATATTACAAGGGTAATTTACAAGCCTTCATTTACTTATTTATTACCTACCTTTGTAGTACTACAAAGTGGATTTTGGTATAGATACATTAAATAATTTGTGGTGTTAATTACAAATCTTAACTATATGCAGTGTTTTAGGTTTCATTTAATGATGTTCATATTATACTTCATTATTTAGTGTAACATAAAATTCTATTGATTTCACCAGTTCTGTCAGCCGCAAGGATGGGCACTCTCAACGGAGAGATCGGAGCCGCGCTTCTACGTGTCAGTATTGACGGACGTGGATGCCAACCGTCACTACTGCGCCTGTCTCTGCTTCAACGAAACCGTTGCCATCACTCCCACCAAACCTGCAGACGAGGTAGGCATTGTATAATGGACGAAATGTGATATTTATCTATTTATCTGTCTTTTTTATCTTTGCAAGACTTTCATAAATAATATTAGATGACCGTTTTAATGCTCAATTTTCACCATTGTTAATAGTTGTCCTGAAAGAGACCTGCTAATATATAAATGAAATTAATAATAGGAAGAAAATTTATAGTGGATTTTTTTGTAACATGTAGGTAATCTAAACATATAATAAAATTGTAACTAAGCCGAATCTGTACATTAAATATTTTTTGGAAAATCTTATTGAACACATTAAACATTATTATCGATACAGAGGCCGAATCTATAGTTATTAGGATTTTGGTCTGTCTGTCTGTCTGTCTGTCTGTCTGTTACCGCATCACAGAAAAACCACTGGAGGGATTTTGATGAAATTTGGTATGGTGATAGCTGGTTATCCGGGTCAACATATAGGATATTTTTTACCGCGGGAAAATATCTCATTTCTAAGAAAAAATACAAAAACTGCATTGTAAGAGTATACTAATATATTATGTAAAATCTAAGAATTTGCTTTTTGGTCATCTGAACGCGGGCGGAGCCGCGGGCAATGCTAGTGTATGAATATTTTTAGCGCGCCTGCATTTGTCAATTTAGATTATTACCAAATGCATGAATTTTTTAATTAAAAAACCAGACATAGCCAAAACAAGCATGAAATGACGTGATAGAGAACATCGTATCAGATAATAATGCAATTATATAACGTATCCGGATACGCTCGGCGCGGAGCTGATCGACCTTTAATAAAATCGTTTACACTCTAATAGTCACCACTGCTTTACCGTAGTTATTCGATATCTTAAGGTCGCCTTGTGTTTTTGTTCAAAAATAAGGAAGAAGATTTTTGTTTTCTCACCGACTTCAAAAGGAGGAGTTACTCAGTTTTGGCTTTTTGTGTATGTTAGGCGATATCTTTGTCAATTGGGGCACCGATTTCGTAATTCTTTTAATTAATGGGTTTGATTTTTATTCTAGTAGACAGTCAGTTTAAATTCTTGTAATACGTATATTTCAATAAAGTTTCATTTTATATATTTATCTTTACTGAAATCATATCAAACTATCTATAAAAGAACCTATTTGTAGTTTGTACGTTATAGAACGGAAGTCTTCCATATTAAACTGTTTAGAATTTATGCTACGGAAGCCATGTATTTTTGTATATTTATATTTGGTCATGATTGTTGTGAATCATTCGAAACGTCGCGGACCAAAAATCAAAAAATATAAGTGAAAAAATCAGTAAAGATATGTAGTTTTATTAAAAACTAGCGGCTGACCCTCGCTTCGCTCAGGTTCGCCTCTAGAAAAGCAAAAACAAATCTATCCCATGGGAACCGTACTTTTTTCCGGGATGAAAAGCAGTCTATGTGTTATTCTGATGTATGACCTATATTATTGTAAAGTTTCATCAAAATCCATTCGGTAGTTTTTGCGCGAAAGAGTAACAAACATACTCGTACATCCATACATCCATGTTCACAAACTTTCACATTTATGATATTAGTATAGATTTCAAATATTCGCGTAAATCTAATAAAGTATTATACAAGAAGCTTTTACAATATCAATAGAGTTAATTCGATTCATTATATTAATGAGATAGGTACTTTCGACTTTAAGTGGCCATTAGATATAATCGTCAAAATATTATCTGCGCCAGGTGTTGCATATTATAGATTCCAAATATTTGCATTGTATATTGGATTTGAGTTGTTTATGGAGTCAGACTAGTAATTCTTGTTCTCGTTGTCATTTAGTAATATTATATGTTAATTGAAAATTATAATTATAGATTATAGACACATAGCCTTTATTCTTCTTCATGCTATATGTTGATCATAGGCATATTGTGTTAGACTGTTAGTGTGTCCTTGTGGTGTTGAGATGTAGTGTTAGTTAGTATTCTAATAATAAAAGTGATGTAAATATTAGTCAGGTCAATTCTGACCTTATACATTTACCGCCAGATTGAGTCTGTGTCGACATTGACAAGTTTCCGTTTCAAGATAACCAATTGTATGAAATACGCGCTATGTCCAGTTGGCCCTTTGATAAGTATTTCACTGTCATTACTGTTCTAGTTGCAAGTACTGATTGTTTTTGTTATGGATTCGTTAAAGTTTTAATATATGATCCGGGTTCATAGTTCATTGTAGGAATGTTACTGACCAGTATCTATACATATAATAAAATTTTAACAGAGCCAAATCTGGACATGAAATATTTTTTGGAAAATCTTATTGAAATAGTCATTAATCCCTCCACGACCGCGGACACGCCGGCGTTACGTTTCCGTCCGTCCGTCCGTCCGTTCGTCCGTCCGTCCGTCCGTCTGTCTATCTGTCTGTCTGTCTATCCGTCCGTCCGTCCGTCCGTCTATCTGGGAACTCATCACGAGAAAACCACTTGTGATATGATGATAGCTAGTTATCCGGGTCTACATATAGAACACTTTTTTATTGCGGGAAAATATCTCATCTCTGAGAAATCTTTGTTAAGCGTAAAAACGAAACGTTATTAATAATAGTTTAAGACTAATAACTAGAATATAATTTCTTCTTTTGTATAGATTATACCATCTAAGCATAAAATAAATTTAGTTCTATATATATGATTAGGGACTTGGAGATTGTTAAAACTTTCGTGCTTATCAGAACAAATCTAAGTATAGTAGGTACCTACCTGAACACCTGTATGGTGTAACGCATCTAGGTAAGGATTGCACTTTGTAGTGTAAACTTGACATGCTAAGATTTAGATGCAAGTAATAGCAGTTGGTAAACATTGTATGTATATTATATATATAAACAAATATATAATATGGATATCAGATATAAAAATATATAATATGAAAAACAATATCTATGTAAAAAAATTAAATTATGTTCCATTTGAAAACGTAACTCCTACAATGAACTTTCATTTTTTATTTTTACTTATCCAATAATAGAATCTTTACTTACACATAGTGATTTGGGTTTGATTTTTGAGCGCTCAAACAATTTATACCTATAGTGATGTTTTTTTTAGTTTTTTGAATCTATTATCCTTATTTAATATTTATATTTTTCATAGCTTTATATTTTACTATTTTACGTTTTAGCGTTTAGTATGGATTTCTCAGAGATGAGATATTTTCCGTAAAAAGTACCCTATATGTTGACTCGAATAACCAGCTATCATCATACCAAATTTCATCAAAATCTATCCAGTGGTTTTGTCGTGATGCGGTAACAGACAGACATACAAAATTCTAAAAACTATAGATTCGGCCTCTATCGATAATAATGTCTATTTCAATGATATTTTCCAAAAAATATTTAATGTACAGATTCGGCTTAGTTACAATTTTATTATATGTATAGATAATAAGATTAGTCATTCTGAACAATAGTTAACAGTGAAATGGATAATGTCACAGTTACAAAGTAACACTTCAGTAAGTAGAGTCCGCCACTTCCGCCGCATCACTCGCTATCTCTGTCAAGGACACCGGGCTGGGGACGTTTAGGTTTATTTAGTGCCTAAGTTATATATAGGCTCACCCTAGTGGCTTGTTACGACAGGACCGAAATGCTTCAGTTAATGCATGGTGGCTAAATAAATATTATAGATCCTATAAAACATTTCTCTTCGTGAAATTATAATGTATTCGTATCTGCAATAGACTCATTTCCAAGAGATATTTTACCCTTTATCTTATTATAAAACTTTGAGAATATTTAAATTAATTTTCACTACAATTTTTATTTACTATAGTAGTTATCTAATAATTTCTAAGCCTTTCTTTTAATATAACTGTTTTTAAAATAATATTAAAATTTTATGACCTATTTATATATTTATTTATTGTAAGCATACAACCGGAATACTAATAAACGTCTAGAAGTCATGAAGTTATTATCAATCATTCAATTTATTGGTCTGCCCTAACAAAACTTTGAGAAACAATTGCGGTATTTCACCTAATGGCGTCTCGTTAGTATCGAACTAGGATCGAGTGCATGAACCCTGGTTATGTTTATTTTTATGGCGCTCTTCCGGCGTCTGTTTGTGCGTGCGCTATCGTATGTTATATGTTAATTTGATTAATTCCCGTCTCTGTCTCTAATCTTTGCTCCCTACTATTTGATATTATATTAGATATTTATATTTTTTAACATAGATTTCTCAGAAATGAGATATTTTCCCGCAGTAAAAGGTATCTTGTATGTTGACCCGGATGACCAGCTATCATCATACTAAATTTCATCAAAATCTGTCCAGTGGATATCTCGTAATGCTTTCCCAGGCAGACAAAAATTCTAAAAACTATAGATTCGGCCTCTCTATCGACTAAATATAGGGAAGCCTCTGTATCGACAGAATAATGACTATTTCAATAAGATTTTCAAAAAAATATTTAATGTGCTGATTCGACTCGAGTTTGAATTATATATATTAATGTGTGCGAGTATGTTTTTAAAAGCTAAAGTTATTTAAAAAAAAAGCTTTTGTATATAGGTACCAAATACATTTTGTTTGATCTACTGCTTTATATAGTTATCTTTATAACATTCTTAATTATGAAATTGTTTAAAATATCTGTAATTTAAGTTTATGGAAATTACAATAGTCCTATAATTCATATATCCCGTTTTATTATAAACTCGTTCTTATATCTGTATCGTATGCAAATTCCCATAGAATCTACATCGAGGGTAGATGCACTTAATGCTTCCCGCTTCCTATTCATGAGTCAGAGTCACGGCACGTTTATCGCTCAGCTCCCTATCAGAGTGGCACGAATACTCGGTAAACAATGCAAATAATTGGATTTATTGTAGCGAGATACGTTTAGACTTTAGTAAATTGCTGTCTTTAGACGGTAATGGATTTCGAATTTTGAATTCGTGCTCGTAAAATTACCTACATAAGTAGAGGATACACCCCTTGAGAAGTAAAACGGTTGGAACTGAA